CTCAGGTAGGACAGGGTGTCTCAGGTAGGACAGAGTATCTCAGGTAGGAGGACAGGGTGTCTCAGGTAGGACAGAGTGTCTCAGGTAGGACAGTGTGTCTCAGGTAGGACAGTGTGTCTCAGGTAGGACAGTGTGTCTCAGGTAGGAGGACAGTGTGTCTCAGGTAGGACAGAGTATCTCAGGTAGGACAGAATGTCTCAGGTAGGACAGTGTGTCTTAGGTAGGACAGAGTGTCTCAGGTAGGACAGTGTGTCCCAGGTAGGACAGTGTGTCTCAGGTAGGACATAGTGTCTCAGGTAGGACAGAGTGTCTCAGGTAGGACATAGTGTCTCAGGTAGGACAGAGTATCTCAGGTGGGACAGAGGGTCTCAGGTAGGACAGAGGGTCTCAGGTAGGACAGAATGTCTCAGGTAGGACAGTGTTTCTCAGGTAGGAGGACGGTGTGTCTCAGGTAGGACAGAGTGTCTCAGGTAGGACAGAGGTTCTCAGGTAGGACAGAGTGTCTCAGGTAGGACAGAGGGTCTCAGGTAGGACAGAGTGTCTCAGATAGGACAGAGGGTCTCAGGTAGGACAGGGTGTCTCAGGTAGGACAGAGGGTCTCAGGTAGGACAGAGTGTCTCAGGTAGGACAGAGGGTCTCAGGTAGGACAGAGTGTCTCAGATAGGACAGAGGGTCTCATGTAGGACAGGGTGTCTCAGGTAGGACAGAGGGTCTCATGTAGGACAGAGGGTCTCAGGTAGAACAGAGTGTCTCAGGTAGGACAGAGGGTCTCAGGTAGGACAGAGGGTCTCAGGTAGGACAGGGTGTCTCAGGTAGGACAGAGGGTCTCAGGTAGGACAGAGTGTCTCAGGTAGGACAGAGGGTCTCAGGTAGGACAGAGTGTCTCAGATAGGACAGAGGGTCTCATGTAGGACAGGGTGTCTCAGGTAGGACAGAGGGTCTCATGTAGGACAGAGGGTCTCAGGTAGGTCAGAGTATCTCAGGTAGGACAGTGTCTCAGGTAGGACAGAGTGTCTCAGGTAGAACAGGGTGTCTCAGGTAG